TAGCTGTGCCTGTGAGAGGCAGGAAGAACACACCAGCTGGGCAGGAAAAAGGAAAAAGAAAAAAAAAAATATTCCCGGGTACCTACCCAAGGAGTTAATGCATTGGGGCATATGTGAAGGAGTTAAAACACTATGCAGGTACAGATCCTGTGGCAATTACAAATGTTATTGAAATAAAAACCAGAAACAGGAAGCCAAAAAACAGGTCCCTAAGGCAGGCATCTGTCTTAAATGATATCATTTGTCAAGTTTCCAGCATTTTGTGGTTGTGAACACAAAAAGAAGTTCTGTGTTACACTAAGGACATTACATAGTCATTAGTCGGAATGTTCCTGAAGTACATAATACAGGATTTTCATTTAATAAGAAGCAGCTACTTGCAACTGCATTGCACATAAAATAAATTCTGGGCACGTTAATTGCCATTCAAGGATCTTCTACCTAATTTTTGACAGGCTTTTCTTCCCCTCCCCCCTTAGACTACACTGCAAAAATTGTAAGCAGATTCTATTACTGAAGTTTTCAAATCTTCGGAGAATATTTTCTTATTTCTGAAATCTGAATTTCTTCAGTCATGAATTATGAAGGTTTTAATGCAGAGATTAAAGAACAAAAGAAAAAAAACCCCAAGTTATCTACAGGAATATTTTAGCAAGAAGTGGTGTTGTAAGAAGGCAAAATATACATATACATATACATATACATATACATATACATATACATATACATATACGCATACATGCATGTCTCTTGGTACAATCTCTCCAAGTCATGCCCCTCCCCGTCTTGAAGAACAAACCTAGCTTTAATTAATTGGTTTAGTTCCTCTATCTGAACACTATTAGTGCATTAGTTTTAACTAATATATAAGCTTCCCCCTTGCTGCCCTGCCAATGACCTTAAGCTTCACATGGTAGGAAAGCCACTTGCTGTAGAATAGAAAAGTAATTTATCCACCATGATTGCTCAGCCCTGGCCCCTCTGTAAAACGGCAACTGACAATTGTGCTGTGTTATGGATGGTACGTTTGTGTGTGTACAATAGTGTGCAGAGCATCAAACTCCCTTCGCTGAACACTGCAGGCAGGATTTGAAAACTCATCGTAGAGAGAAGCGACCACTTGCTGAGCAATGTCCCTCCATTTCCAAATCTTTTTTTTTTTTCAAGTAACTCCCCCCATTTTTTTTTTCTCAAAAGAAAGATCAGTGTTGTTTTCTCAGCTTAAGTTAGAGCAGTATGTAGTTTTCCATTCATAAAAGTATGTCATAATAATAACAATGAAAAAAGAGGTTACATAGCTTTTATTTTACCTGGGATTTCCCCGCTTCTTTCCACATTTCAGCATTTAGCATATTCCCTCAAAACATAATAAATTTCTATTCTGTAGCTTAAGGGATCCATCAGTTAAAATGTTAGTCTTTCATCTTTATTACCCTCCCATTAAAATGAAAGAAACCGGGACACACTTCAGTTTAGAAGAAGCAATTTAGTTGGTAATGTCCTTACTACTCAAGTCTTTACAAAGAGAGAAAGTGCATTATTGCTTATATTTCACACATCTATCTGCATAAGAAGCAACTAAAGCTTTCAGACACATATGATATTAAATTTAATAATATTCTTTGATTAGATTATTTTATTACAACATTTTTCCATTACTAGTCATTTCCCGTACACATTTACATTCATAAAACCTGCAGGTTTTTCTTTGTTTGTATGTGTTTATATGTATTCATAAAGCAAGGAAAAGATTTTCTGGTTTGCTACAGCTGTTAGATTCAAAAAGAACAGATTAATAACTAGCCACCACGTAGGACTGGGTTTTCTTGTACACTGCACCAGTAACCCTTTGCTATAATGAGGACACAAAGAGGCTCACATCAGGCTGCTCCTCTTCTTCATAACTCAAAAGCGTCACAGTGGCAATAGCCTCTAGTGCTATTTGTCTTTAGTGCAGTTGTGACACTTCGGCATGATCCATAATTTGGCAGCTATTTACCGTGACATTTCCCTTCAGTGCAGCCATAACATTCAGTGAAGCCATTATTTGGTTCCATTTACCATATAAATTGTATTGTCGTGCATGCATGCTAGCAGCTACATTAGGTACCTGAAAATGAGTAAATCTTGTAAAATAGATACTAACAGCTATTCAGCAGAGAAATTTCTTTACTCCTCAGACAGAAGTAGGAATATATATAATATCTGCAAACACTACTGCAAACTTTTCCTTGAGAGATTGCAATTATCTGTATTTACATGGCACAGCAGTTATTCATATCCACTTACTAAATATACACTTTATGTGCATATACATTACACACATTTTCAAGCACACAAACATACAGCAAACTACTGCTTGGTAGAAACCCAACTTGCTTCAAAAAGGTATTAGGAGAATCCAGCATAGCAATTAAGTAGGAAGCATATCTGTAAAATGTGCTGAGGGTTGCAAGCCAGGAGAGAGCGAGTGAGTACGTGTGTGTCCGTGTGCGCGTGCGTATGCACACATGTGACAGACTCAGGAAAAAAGCCAGCTCTTCATCTAGTTCTTTGTTGTTTTTCCATGGAAGCATATGTGTGTAGGGAAGGGAAATTCGGTTATTATCCTCAGCAAACAATGCCAGATTCCTCTGTAGCAAATTCATTTAGAAAGGTAAAATTAGGATGTAGTGCTAGCGACCACATCTCAATGAGCGGCTATTATTAATAGTATTATTATTTAAATCCCTGCTCTCTACATATAGTATACTTAGTACTTCCAAGGCAAATGTATTATTATTTTTAATCATTTAAGTCCCCACTGTGCACACAGCTTTTAATACACCTTTTTTGCAAGCATATTAAGTGTATTGTTATTAATCCCTTGCTGTGACTCTACAGTATTTCTTTTCCTTGTGTGTTCAATGTCCTATCATCATTTAAACCTCTCAGTGTGTGCATGCCATATACATTTTCCTAGGCATCTAATATTTAAACATTATTTAAATCCATCATAGCTTACTAATTCAAAGGCAGCCCTGCTCCCACAACTGTAAGTTTGCAGAATGTACTTTTAAATAAAGAGAAGTTGGGTTTTTCCCCCAGCTGCAAGCCAAAATTTATTACAAAACTCACCAAAAAGGCCTTATCTGCGTGTTTAAGAAATAATTTTCACCCTCTCTCCATTGATAATGCTCTCTTTCAGCAATTTGAAACATAGAAGTTGTATCTTTAAAAACAAAAATTACTTCTTCATTCCATATTCATTCATGGAAGAGTTATCATGTTGACCCTGAGCTACCCCTTCAGCTTAACATAAACATTTGATGAAAAAGACAAGCCCAATGACCATAGCCTAACCTAAACACTGAAAAGGGCTATGAAATTTGTACATTGGCTGTCCAAGTTATGCATATAACAAATGTTAACCTTTTATTAATGCTGTGATCATATGAAAGTGCTAAACAACAATCTGAACCCAAAACTAAAATGAACAACATGTCATATCTGAATATATGTGTGTGAACCCTCCAAAGGTCCCTCTCTTCTCCTGTTTTGATCAGTGAAGAAGCCTGGGGCAGTTGCATTATACAATGTTATATATGAAGTAACATATTAAAAAGAAAGTAGAATGTATGTCCAAACAGAATCCTGTTAGAGGAGGAATTTTCTATGACAAAAACATATGGAATTCACTGCCTCAGAAACACCAAATCTATTGAACTGACAGTGATCAACACATCTGAAAGTTGGGCCACTTGGATGGTTTTGGCATTTGACTGCAGGAATTTTATTTGAAAAAAATTGTTACTCATGCAACTCTTCTGTACATATCACAGATGGAACCAATTGGTTTTTTTTCTTTTTAAATTTTGCCACAATACATCCCAACCAACCTTGTTTTTTTTAAGATGCATTTAATGACCAAAGACTTCACTTTATCCCTGAACAAGGGAAGACATTACACATGCCTAGGAATAAAATGCTGAGAACTTTGAATGCTCTGTATGATACTTGAGTGTTGACATCCTTCTAGCATTCAGCTGGAAGGCCAATATACCTTCCTAATTATGCAAAACACAAACACAACACAGTATTTTTATTATCAGAGATGAAAGAGGAAATATGTTTCTATCAGCAGATCTTACTTAAAACAAACATCAAGGTGGCTTGATGCTCACCTTGAATAAGAGAGAAAAATGGTCACAAAGACTCAATCCATTCCACCTTTACCCAAAATCACCAAAGTGAGACTAAACCGAGTAGTCAGGCACAGCCCAAGAAAGGGACAGCTCTCCATTGTACACAATTCTTTATGATGCTAATGACCTATGTCCTAAAAATTTACTTTAAGAATGCACCAAATCAAAATTAAAAATACGTTTCTCTCTGCATTACTGAATACAATCTATGTTTTCCTGTGTTACAATCAAAAATGTTGTGCACAGTCAGTCCCGAATAATTCCCTAAAATTAAGTTTACCCTGGATTTTTTCCTTCAAGTCCTAGCCATTATCAGTCTATCACTATGTTTATGAGGCATATGATCTATGGAAATGTCCCTCTCTTCAACTGCACACAAATGAATGTAATTTCAAAAGATGTGGCAAAATTGGCCTTTATGATCTTAAAAGTTTGCTATGGAAAAAAAGATGTAGAGCAAGCAGTTTCAAGTATTTTATTGTTCTGGAAAATATTATGCTTCTAGCTGGAATTCCCACTGTACATACCACTAACAATATTCACTAGGTGAGGAAGAATTTTTGAAACTTTACAAAACCTAGAAAATCTATGGCTGAGCATCAGTATGTGTACCAGGTATTGTGAATATAGATTTAAAATGGTCCTGCTGTTTGTAAGAGGGCTTCTGCAGAAGCAGTATCTGGTAAAAGTAGAAGTAGCAGCCTGATTATGGGAAGTCCTTTCAAGAATGATCAGTCAAATAACCCTGAAAAACAGAATATCTGAAAAAGAGCTAGTCAGCAAGAAACATATAATTATGAATAAATGCCACAAATATTTAAACAGCTTTTAAAACTTTATTTAATCTTCCAAAAATATACAGGGCATGAACATACATGAACGTGTCTCAAAATCCCATTCCAATAATCTTTAAATACTGACTAAAGGGGAGACTGGACAATAAACAGTAACAGTGGAAAATGAAAAGGCAACAAAATGAGACTATACTGCAACTTGTAGTTAAAGATTTAAAAGAAAATTGTGCAGTTGTTTATAGTTATGAAAGACAGGATTAGGAAAAAAAAAAAAGTCAAGTTGCTTAATATTACTGACATGTCAGAATTGGAGGATAAATTTCCCTGTGTAACCAGTCAAGGAATATTACGATGATCCATGATCCAACTGAATTATGATTATCATGTTTGTGACAGAAAATCAAGAGCATTTTTTTCGCAGAAACTTCAAAAGATTAATAGAGCAACCCAAAGATACAACTCTTTACTTATTCTTGTTCTAACAATTTTATTTTTAAATCAGGGAATCAAAATTGCTGAAAGATTTTTTTTCTGAGCTGAACTACAGATGAAGTCTTATCAAATCAGGCTGACAGACTAAATCTGCCTCTGCATCAAGACTTATTCTGTCAAGAACAATGTTCTTGTCTCATGCTAACCTAAGTGACAATATCAAACACAGGCCCATTATGTCCCTGCTACAGCCACTGATTTAAACACTTTTAAGAAAATAAAACTAAACAATTGAAACAAACCCATCCTTTTTTATTAACACTTCAATGCTGTTTTTTAATATAATATCCATTACTAAGCTTAAAAAAAGAAATTGTTTCTAGTAAATCTGAGGCATAAAGTACCCATTTTCTCTCTTCTGATTTATATCATTGTTCTGTTTTTACAGCTTACTGTTGACAGAGTGAGGTAATTCAACGACAATTTTTCCAATGTTTTTTCCCATGTACATGTAATCTACAGCACGGAATACAGATTCCAAGCCAGTGAACTTGCCCTCAGGAGACATGTCTCCAAAGTCCACCTCACAAACCAGGTCTCCTCTTTCATACATCTTGAGCAAATGCTGCAGAGCCATTTTGTAGTCAGAAAGGTAATGGTTCAAGAAGAAACCCCGGACGCTAGCAGACTTCTTCAATAGTTTTGCTGGCAAAAACTCTGCTTTAATGGGCTGGAGGCCAGTGGGGTTTTGGTAGCCAGTGATAAACCCAATAACTATCAAGCGCCCTTTGATAGCCAAGGCATTGAGAGCCAAGTCAAACATCTTTCCTCCAACAGATTCATACACCACATCCACACCTTCGGGGTAGTCCTGCCTAAGCACAGATTCGACATTTTCAGTTTTATAGTTGATGGTACGGTCACAGCCAATGGATTTCAGAAAGCCACCCTTTTCATCACTGGAGCAGGTTCCAATTACATGGCATTTTGCCTTCTTTGCAAGCTGCACAGCGAACTGGCCTGTTCCTCCAGCTGCTGCTGTCACCAGAACCTTCTTGCCTTCAGACAGGTCTCCCAGCTCTTTCAAACTGAGGTATGCAGTCGCGCCACTTACCATTAAAGTGAGAAACTCGGGTTTCACTGAGGGTAGAGGGACTGCTTGTCTGGCCGGCACAACTGTGTATTCAGCAAAGGAACCTGCTTTCACGTAGGCCACAGCTTGACCCACCGTGTAATCTGCACTAGCGCTGAGTCCTAACGCTACCACTTCACCCACACCTTCAAAGCCTATATCAAAGGGGGGTTTAACTGAGGCGTCATACCGACCAGCTGAGTAGTTTATATCAGATGCATTGATGCCGACAAATCTAGAAGAAAACAAAAATGTTTTAACGAGATTTACTCCTTACCAAGTTTTCATCGTATGAGAAACCTTATATTCAAATTTGTGGAATAAGTACAAGATCTGTTCTGATTATCTGTATATTTGAATAACGAGTAGACTCCAAAGATTACTTTCATCAGAATTCCATAGTGGCCATTCTGTTGTTCTAGAATTACAAATTTTCTAAACAAAAGCAACAAAAGGCTGTAAAAAGTAAAACCCAAACCCAAAACAAAACAAAACAAAATCCCTTATATTTTCTCTAGGTCCACTTGACCAAACTAAAGAAGCTGAAAATAAATCTGTAAATGATTAAAGCATGAAAATTAACTGACCACTTCATACAAGATTTGAAAACACAGAAGAATGAAACATGCAGAGCAGTGAGTATGTGGATTCTGGCAACAAATTTATATTTTTGAATATAATAATACTGTTAATGACTAATGATCATATTAACTATCGATGTCATTTGCAAGGTCATGTTACTGTAGGCAAGTACTTTTTAATTGATGGAGTCACTACAGCAAATTTGCCTTTTGATGTAGCTAATGTCAGCATTAAAATATTTTTCTTTATATAAATTACTTACAACACATCAAAACAACCTTGCACAGAAGGAGTAAAATTGGAAAACTGAATATCAAGTCCTACTGACCTCTAACAGGTGAAAATGGATGGCAATTTTTTTTAAAGAGAAAGATAAAGATATCCTTACAACTCGATTAAGCACTAGGAGATAATGCCTAAGACAAAGTTATGATCTAGCTCAAATACAAAGATCTTTTTTTAAAGTAACTATCCTTACAAAGGCAAGAGAAGAGAGACTGGGGAAGGTTCTGCTAACTGGAAAACGTAAAAAGAAACACATGAAACAGCAAATGCCAGTACTGTTACTATGTGTGGATGTGACAACCTAAAAGGTGTACTTGACACCATGCAAAAGCTGCAGAAGTAGGCAAACAGTGCACTTTTCATTGTTGCAGTTAGCAACAAGCTCAGCTCGTATATGTGTGTAGTTTTAAATCGCTTGCACACAGAGCGAGGAGAACTAAACCCGCTTTGCTCCTTTTGATATTCTTCATTCTTTACAGCATGGGGAGCTTCAAACTTTCACCAACGTTATGTATAAAAAGACACGTAAGCGTAAACATATCCATGCATAAAACAGGTAAAAGTGACTGTAGCTCTCGGTAATCCTGCCTTTAACTCGCCGCTCTGCCGCAACAAAAAATGCCTACGTCTTGTCCGCAGATACAAAAAAATCTCCTATTATCCCGCTCTGCGGTGACTCCCGTACAGGAGTGCTAAAAGATGTATAAAAATTGGTAACGGAGTTGCAGCTTCCGAGGCAGACCGTGTCCCTCGGGCGCCAGGCGAGACGTGCCGGCGCTGCACCAGCCTCCTCCCGCTCTTACACCCCAACTTCTGGGGAGGGGAGCGGAGGGTGAGAGCCCGGTGGGGAGCTGTGCTCGCCCCCTCACCGGCCTCACGGCTTCGCCGAGCCGGGGCTCTCGGTAGCTGCAAGGCCAGCCCGGGGCGGCCGCTGTGCCCCCGGCCCCAACCCGCGAGGGAGGTCCCGGCTTCCCGCTGGGCTCAGCCTCCCTCCTCACGCTCCGGGCGCGCGTCTGCCCCGGCAGGACGATGAGCAGCCGTGCCCGCGGCCGGGGCAGCGCACCCCGACACGGGCAGGCAGCGCAGCCACGGGAGAACAAGCCCCCCTGTTTTTAAGACCTTCCCCTTCTCGGCGCTGCACGGTGGCGGCCGAAGCACAAAGGCAGGTAGAACAACCAAGCACTCCGAGGACAAAAACTTTGCGAGCGGGGAAGGGGCAAGTCGCGCGGGGGGCCAGGCGCCTGCCGAGCAGGGCTCCAGCACACGCACCGCTGCTTTTGTTCTGCAGCGGGAGAGGATGCGAACCCTTCCCCGCCCGGGCCGCAGCGCAACTTGGCGCTGCCCGGCCGCCCCCCGCCGCGCCGGGCAGGGGATGCGGGCTCTCCGCGGGGCTGGCGAGCACCTGCCCCCGCACACTCACGCGTGCACACACGCACAGACACGCGTGTTCGCACTCCCGTCTCTGCGGGGCGGCTGTGCCACGGGAAATGATCCTCCCTGGGCTCATCACTATTAATCAGCGCAGCCTGCTGTCTAGCCCTTCCCCCCCTATTTTTTTTTAAACCTCCTTTTTATTGTGTGCAAACTCAAAACTCCTGGTCACGTTGTACAGGTTTCTTTACCCCCACACACCTTTTTTTTTTTTTTTTTTTTTTTTTTTTTTTAATAAGATTGTTTAGTCTTATATTCCTTGCACATTAAAATGATCATACGCACCGTCTGGATTAAAACATAGTGTCTAATTTGCCTTGTCATTCCAGCTGACAGAAGTGAGGTGGTAGGATGTGCGTGCAGTTCCACAGATTACTTTGCTTTTAAAAGTAGGAAAAAGTACGAATTACAAGTTGAAGATCAGTTTACTAACTTCTGAGACTGAGGAAAGTAGAGAGCACAGAAGAAACAATTACTTGGGGTGCTAGTGGGTTTTAAGACACCTTCCGGATCTTTTATGATGCCTTCATTCACTTTCTTACTTTAAATCTGTCCTTTAATTTAGAAGTTACTAGTTGAGTTTTGCCCCTTTCATTTCAAGATGCAAACCTGAGGCAGGGTGTGAAAAAAGCCTGAGATTGGCTTTTCTCGAAATAATTATGCACATTGAGTCACCCGTTTTATTTATACCCAACAGTGTTGAAACCCCTCGTACTGTTTATTATAGAAAACAGGAGGACGCTGCCAGGGGGGAAGAAATGCTGTTTTGTGTACCACAACAAAGAGTGAGACACCGAAAACCAGCATCACAGCCTTAAACACAGACAAAACAAAGTCATCCAAACCAGCACTACGCAAGAAAAACATTATTTAGACCAAATACCCAGCAGGAATAGCCCTCCACTATTCCCACTGGGATCCATCCCTTTAGTCCCCTGGTTCAAAAAAAGAAACTTTCTCAACCCCTCTCACTCCCTTTTCTATAAACTTTGTTCCCATTTCCCAGCCCAAAAGTAAATTCTTACAATTATTTTGGCAATTAAATGTGTCACTTCATCAGTAAAATCTCGCAAATCCTCCAAGAACTTTAAGAAGGACCAAACCTTCACAGCCTTGGGCCCTTCTCCTGCGATGAAATGGAAAACCCTTGCTTCCACACCCACCCCTCTTTTCCCCCTGGAAAACAGGACAAACAGACATATGGAACTTAAATGGCTTCACTAAGGATTTACCACCTTTTCCCCTCCCCTTTCTCTCCTACACAGAATCAAAGCTAAAAAAAATAGATTAAATTAATTTCTCGTTCTGAAGGATTTTTGAGTAAAAGATGGGTTATATTTTTCTGTATAAAAAAAAGTAGAAATAAGAGTTGCTGGCATAGCTCTCTAAAGCAGACAAAAGTTTCCTCTACTTATTTTAAAAATCTTATTTTAAAATATCTATCCACACACAGATTTTAATTTCCTATTCCCATAAATCCCAAACCAGATTTTATTGTGGTGAATGACGATTGTTTTGCATGAAAAGCTCAAAGCAATTAATACTATTCATGGGCGTGACTGGGACTAAAATTAACAAATCTGTAAATGCCCTCTTGGAACCCAAGTCTTTCATTGTTTTGTTTTTAATTGTATGCTTCTACCTATTGGAAAATGTATAGTTGTATTTGAGCTTGGTTGTTTGTTTTTTTAAAAAACTAAATAGTCAGGGACTCATCCTTTCAGGATGGGATAGTCTTTCCCCAGAGTGACAGAGAGAGGGGAAAACATTCAGAACTTGCTTCGTGCTGCAGCTTGTACACAGTGAATGTTTTACAGTAACGTAATTCTGTGTCTTCTGTGATATTCTTCAGAAAGGAACAGTAAAGAGAGAAGAAATGCCACAAGTAATACAAAATGTATGAACTCTACATCTAGACTTCATCACTCACCTCCTCCTTCCCTTCATCCCCACACATGCATGTTTACCAGTAGAGGAACATGTGTGTAACAGGCTGATGTGTTAAAGCCCAGCAATGGCCTGCCTGAATCTGTGGACCAGCTCCTGCTTTTAGTGTGGTATGAACCCTTTTACCATGAAGTGTGCATGTCCCATGTGCACCCAGGGAGCCCATTCAGCAAAAGGAGGGAGAAGAGGGAGAAGGGAAGAGTTAAACTGGAAGCTGTTAAAAAAAAAAAAAAAAAAAAAAAAAATTTAAAAATTTACAGGAGGGCAGACGGGGGAGTGGGATGAGAAAGATTCCAAATGCATGTGTGGGAGGGACGGGAGTTGAGAAACAAGGATGTCGCTCTGCCTTGCATCACCCAAGTAGAGTACTTGCTACTTGTATCTCAAGTCTTTCGACCTCTTCCACAGAAAGGAATTTAACTCCAGCCGGATGGCTGTTGCACGCCATTACTGTTTCAGTCATTAGTGGATGCAGCAACACAGTGTCTTACACTTCTGAGGTTTGGAGGGAATTTTGGTCTCAGAAATCCTAGTGGGAGATGTCACCATTGAATTAAAGTGCCACAGCAGCTTTCTTGTCAGCTCCTGGAAGAATCCCTGTTCTTTCTCCTTATCCCTTCTTTACTCTGTATTTGTGTGTTGCATATGGACACATACATGTCACACATATGCACACAGTCACATACTGCCTCAGCAGACCTCGCAGCATTGTTCTCAAACCAACTTAGTGCTGCTTAATATCTTTAAGCTCCCACAGCGAACATGGCAAACTATGTGTTACTACGATTTCCTTGCTTGACAAGAACCTGAGAGCGCTGCTCTCTCCTGTGCCAGCCACGCAGTCTGCTCCAAAGTTCAAGGAGTTTTGGCTTCCTCTCGTGAGCAGAGAAACCCCTGAACTTCAAAAGATTTAGTTTTAGCGCAAGGAAGGACGGCACCTAGGAAGGAGGCACCGAGAACAAACAGGTTTTATAGAGACAGCTGTGGGGGGAGGCACGTTTTGTCCTCGGAGTCTTCATTTCACGGCGAGCTGGTCACCGCGCCGGACGTGGGATTTACGGTGTATTATGCTAAGCAAAATGTCACCTCCTCACACTTCGCCCGAGCCGGCTCCTCTCTAAAAGCCACCAACAACTGCAGGCCTGCGTCCTGCCGGGGAGGCCGAGGGCTGCCCTGCCCCCGCCGCGCCGCCCGCGCTTGGCGCGCAGAGCTGGGGGTGGTGCCGGGGCTGCCCGGGCGGCGGGCCCGGCCGCGGCCTCCCCGGTGAGTCACGGCTGCGCGGGGGCGAGGCCGGAGAGCGGCATGAGGGGCAGCGGGGCCGCGCCGAGGAGACAGCGGCCGGGCCAGGCCCGCCCGCACACCGCGATGCCGGGGCGCTGTGCGGGTGCGCCGGGGACACACTCATGCCCCGAGCACTACGTACGTGTAACGAGCCCGGGCAGGCCCCAGGGAGGGGCCCTGCGAGCGCTTCCCTCCGTCTCACTCTCTCCTTGGCACTCACAGAACATAACACTCGCCTCTTCCCCCTGCCCCCACTTTGGCACAGGGGCCTTGGGGTGTTTTCTCTTCCTTCGGGCAGGCGCACGCCAGGAGCAGCGCGCACAGACAAACACACACAGCCCCACCACAGGAGGAGGAAGTGTCACCCCCACACACGTGGATAGGGTGACAGAGCTGTAGCACCAGTCGTTCAAAACAACAACAATAAAATGAAATTAACAGTCGCCAGATGGCGGCTGGTACAACTTTGGAGCCGGTCTCCGAAGTGAGGGAGCATGTGGGAGAGAGCAGGCCACAAGGCGCCAGGAGTCGGCGGGGGCCGCGGGGCCGGGGCGCGGGGGGGCGGGCGGGGACTCACCTGTTCCTGACCAGGAGGTCTCCGTCTCCCGGGAGTGGCACGGGCGAGTCCTGCTGCAGGGTGACCGCTTCCCTGAAGTTTTGGCTCAGCTTAGTCACCACCAGCTTCTTCATGGAGCTGGGGATGGACGAGCCCTGGAAATCCAGAAACTGACGGGAGTAGGACATGTCCAGGATGGGCCGCGACCAGCTGCCACCGAAGGACCCGGCAGGAGCTGCCGCGGCGCAGGACGGCTGCAGTCGCCACCACCACCGCGCTGCCCGGGAGCTCAGCGAAGCGCCGCTTTTCGCGCTAAAACTCATGCCCTGCCTCGGCTCTCCTCTCCCGCCCCGCTCGGCAGAGCTCCGACTCGGGATTCTCCAGGCAGCTCGCAGGACGCGCCGGCAGGAAAAACTCCCCGCTCGCAGCTATGTGTGTACGTAAACAGACAAACCCCCGTGCAGCAGGTTCTCCCTCCCCTCCCAGCCGGTCCCTCCGCTGCACGGAGACGCCGCCGGAGGAGCAGCGGCAAGATGGTCCCCTTGCAGCAGCCGCTCCTCTTCTGCCGCCGCGGGCACTACCGAGGGGCGAGGCCGGCCCGCTCCCGCGGCCGTCCGTCCCGCCAGCCCCTGCCTGCCTGCCCGCCCTGCCTTGCCAGCGAGGGCCGGAGTATCTCCTAAAGGAGATGGTGGTGGTGGTGGCTTTTAGTTTGCACCCTACCTCTGACTAAGGGGTTTAAAAACAGGGGAGGGGGAGAGGGGGGGTAGACAGACGGACAGAGAGAAACGCCTCGGATTAACCCCCCCCCCCCCCCGCGCTCCGTTCTTTAGTTTACAAAAAGAAGGTATCTATCTCCCTACTAAAAAAAAAAAAAAAAAAAATAGAAAGGAGTAATTAAAAAAAAAAAAAAAGAGTGGGAATAAAGCACGGCAAATTATCGGCCGGGAAAGGTTAGAGAAGTGGGGAGAAGTTGCAGCTAATCTCCTAATGTTGTTATTAGCCGCCGCCGAGGAGCCGCTGCCCGCGGGCGGACGCTCCGCCCCTTCCGTGCGAAACGTTTCACTTCCTCGCAAGGTGCTACGAATCAACCCCGAGACGGCGGCGGCTCCGCGCCTGCCGCGGGAGGGGATTTAAACGGGAGAAGCTCTTCCCGCCGTCGCCGTCCTGCCGGGAGGGGAAGGGTAACAGGCTGCTGTCAGTTTGCTTGGGTCGCAGGGGTTTCCCCTGATCCCTGATACTGCCAGAAAATCTTACCCTCCCTTTCCCCCCTTGCTTCTTTCTTTCTTCTTAAAAAAAAAAAAAAAAAAGAAAAGAAAAAAATTTAGTCATCTCTCGCTGTAGGTTACGTTTGGGTGAGGGAGTCTGCGCAGCGAATCACCTGGGTCAACAGCCCGAAGTCAGTGTTGTGATAGAGCCGCCAATCCCAACTTGGTACAACTGCGTGGAGAAAAGCAATATAATAGAGATGTTGAATTGATGTCGCATGTAGTTCCCAGAATTAACTCCATCCTACCAGTATAAACAGCTCAATGTTTAATTGTGCGGTAATAAGAAGAAAGAAAATCCCCTTCTGCCCGAAAAAGAACAAAACTGCAGTTCCAAGTGCTTTCCTTTAGGAATCAGCTGAGTAGTTCTTATTTGCTTTCTTGACTTCAAAAAAAATTTAAAAAATAAAGAAAAAAAGGGAAGAACCCTTCTGTTCTCGCAGCTAACATTATATAAATCCCCAGACACATACTGTGCAAAATGTATTAGCAGTATGTTTCATATGCTGCAGTTCTCGCTCTGCAATCTGTTGGTATTTTAAAGTAAGGATGAACTGTAATCTCCCATAAATCATTTTTAATTCAGTGCTGGGTAGATGTGTGCCACGGCGAAGTATCATCTCCTGCCTGCCTCTTTTTTTTTTTTTTTCTTTCTCTTTTTAAGTTTGCTGGAAGAAGACCTTTGCTGAAGTTAAATCAGCACATGCGTCTTGCACAGCACTTCAGCAAGTGGATTATAATAACAACCCCCTCAACGCGTGTCTCACATGAGGAATCTTTTATGCCGTGCTGTATTAAGACTTTTTTTTTTTTTGTCATATTGTTTAGCTCTGGGAAAGGGAAAAAAATGAAAACAAAGCAATTAAAAAGATTGACAGGTATGGGTTTGTGTGAGACCTATTTGTAATTGTCAGGGTGACGTGGGCAAGAGGAGGAGGAGTAACAAACTGAAGCAGGAAAAGCAGCTCGATGTGTCTGTCTATCAGTTGAGACTGTCTGAGAGCCCTGGGATCCGAATGTGTGTTATATTTCAGTGAAAAGAGAAGAGAGGGAGAGTGGATCTCTTTCTCTCCCAGGAGTTTAGGGGGGGGGACAGTTCACGTTAATCTGTCCCACTCAGTGAATGTCTTTTCTTCCTCCCCCCCTCCCTCTCTGCACACACTCTCCGGGGTTTTTCTTGGTTTTGGCAAATTTTTTTTTGTGTGTGTCTTGTTTTTTGGTTTTTGGGTTTTTTTTCTTCTGTTGCAGATCGAGATCAGCAAAAAAAAAAAATCCATGATAAAAAATGTGTTTGCATTATATTTAGTAGCAGAAGAAGCTTCGATTTGTGGAAGAGAAAAAAAAAAGGGAGAGCAAGAGAGAAAAGTAGTCCTCTCCGGTGGTGACACTGTTTGATCTGTGACTGTTTGGAAGGTGGAGGAGTGACTGACATTTCCCATCCGGTGTATATGTATGTATGGGGGCTTTACTCCTTTTTATGATTTGCTTCCTTGCTCTTAGACTAAGTGCTGGGAGGAGAAGGAGAGACTGGATCGACCTCGTTTTTTGCACAATGAACAAACTATTACCAACGCAATAAAAAACCAAACAAACAAAAACCCCCCCAACAACAACAGCAACAACAACACACAAATCCACGAGCTTGAAACAAGCCAGCGAGCGAGCGAGAAAGTTGCGCTTTGAGACTCTTTGATCTCGGAGAAAGCCTGAGAGGGGGGGAGTGACTGAATTTACCGTCTCATCGCCGCCGCTTGCTCGGCTCTCCACCGCGAAGAAGGAGAAGAAGACGAAGAAGTGATTAAGGAAAGGAGGGGGAGAAGGGGAGAGAGAAAAAGGAGGAGAAAAAAAAAGAACGAAAGAAAGATAATGGATTTGGGCTACAGATTGAACTGATCAAATCTTATTTATTTTGCACATCTCCACTGGCATCTTCCCTGCTGCTGCTGCTGCCGAGAGGACTGAAGAGCTTTGTCTTATAAGGAACTTAAAGAGAGAGAAAGAGAGAGAGAGAGTGTGTGCGAGAGAGAGGGAGGAAAAATTAACCTTGTAAATGAAAACATTTCCTAAGCAAGTTTTTGGAGTGGCGGCGGAAATTGGCATCCCTGTCACCAGTCTGTGGCTTGCCTCATCCCACACCCCACCTTCCCCCCCGCCCCGCGCACCCCGCTCGCCGCGCCGGGAGCTGACCCGGGGGGGGAACCCGGACCGGGCGAGAGGAGAACCCGACCAAACTTTTTCTCCTTCCTCCCCCCCCCCCTCCCTCCCCCCCCTTTCCCC